ACATGGCAAAACCCCGTTCTCTACAAAAAGTACAAAAATTAGCTGGGCGTGGTGGCAGGCACCTCTAAGTCCCAGCTACTTGGGAGGCTGAGACAGGAAGATTGCTTGAACCCAGGAGGCAGAAGTTGCAATGAGCCAAGATTGTGCTATTGCACTCTAGCCTGGGCAACAGAGACAGATTCTGTCTCAAATAAATAAACTATATGAAAAATAAAATTTACACAAAATTGTATATTCTTTCATCTAAAGTTGAGTAACTTTTCCCCCAAATCTTACATATTATATTCGGCATTTATTTCTTGCTCAACTGCATATTCTTTAGAAACTTGGTCTTTCGTTCTCCTGAAAGGTAGAATAAATTATTTTTGCACTATTATATTTAAATTGCTTATTAAAAGTTTTCTGTTGAATTTGAATCATAGTAGCTATAATTAACTGATGAAAGTTTAAATACATATTTAAATGATTTCTCTCCACTGTAATTGTTGATGTCCATGAGTCAGTACTAGTATGTTATGACAAAAACTGCCAAATGTCCCAATTTAATTTTTTCAGGCCAATAATGTGAAAATAATTATAATTACTGCAATAAATAGCTATAGATTAAGCTACATTTCAACAACTAAAGCAATTCGATTATTTGAAGAGTAAGACAACATCAAGCACTCACAAATCTCCCTTCTAGATTTAGAATTATAATCAATGATTTTGTCCCCTTATAGTTAAGTTTATAACTTATGGTTGGACAAATGAAAGTTAGATTCCCAATTTAACATCCTAGTTTAGAATTCTGTTCATTTTCATTGGAAGAACTACTTCAAATAAGATCATAGAAAGTAAACAAGCAAATATGAATGTCACCAGAAACTTGAATTTAGAGTTTTATGACATTAATAAACTTAACCATGCCAATCAAATGCTTAGACAAGTAATTATGCACAGGCAAGCAATTATATTTTTTAAGGAGAATATGAATATTTCACTTACTTCTAAATAGAAAGTACTATATAAGAAAGTCAGATTACAGAAAATTAACACTACTTGTGTGTTATGTGTGTTGCAAGTGTTGCTTACAAAAGATTCCCAGAAAAAATAATAACATCTCCATTCCTATTTATTCTTAGATGATTGTTTAATAGTGCAGTCAGTTTACATTCGAAGACATTTTGCATAATCCTATTAAAAACCTATTCAAACAATGTGGCTCATGTTTAACTCTTCAGTTATGTATCCATTAATCATCTTTAAGTGCTTCCTTCCTTACCACAGCTGTAGTTCAAGAGGTGGCCAGCAGTTGGCCTCCATTTCTGTGGATTTTCATGAATGCCCAGATTTCTCTTTGCAAACTTTTTAAATGTTGTATGCCTAAACAACTTTTTCATAACTTAAGAGCTTATAAAATGCTTTCAAAAGGACTCCAAAAGAAACAAATTTTCTTTTAAAAATAAAAACCAAACAAAAGAAAGCCACACACACTGTTAAGATGTTCTCTGCAAAACATTCTGTTCAGCAGATTTGAAATGTCTCTAAAGGGATCAAGAACTACTTAGTTTGAAAGCAACAGTTGAGAACTCATAAAAGGATAGCCAACAGTAACAGCCATGAGAAAATCTTTAAAGAAGATTAGGAGTGGCTAAGATACCAGGCATTGGGCCTTCCCTAGTCTCCCCACTCCTTTTATTTGGAATGCCTTCAACTGTACCATTCAACCACAGTTGTTCAAAAGCCTCTGTCCTTAGTCCTCTGTTCTTTTTTCCTTTCATGCTTTCCCCCAAAGACTGCAATCTCACTATGATATTTTTTGGAGACAATTCACAAATTCACATCTCTGTTTCTGTTACATCACCCAAACTAATCCTCTAACTTAAATATTTTCACCAGGGTATGCCATCATTATTTCATACTCAGGACATAAAAAACAAAAAAAATTGTTCATCTTTATCAAACCATTCCCTCTTTCAACTTCCTTGGTTTTGTTAACCCAAATCAATCCCCTTTGTCTGGTGACCATGACTCAGAATCACAGAAACTAACCTCCACTACTCACATTCAGTTGGTTTATGTGGCAGACAGCATTTTTCAAAAATGGCCACCACAATACCTCCAATGTACATATACTTCTACAATATGATCTTGCCACTTTGCCATCAAAAGGTGGGCTGAATCCAGGCTGGCCCTAAGATGCACTTATAATTAAAGGAATGTGACTAAAGCAATGCAGTGAGACTTCCAAGGCTAAGTCAGAAAAGATCATACAGCTTCTGGTTGGTTCTCTTGTAATACTCCCTCTGGGGGAAGCATGCTGCCATATAAGAATTTTAACCCCAAGACTGCCATGCTAGGATGAGAGGCTACATGTAGTCCCAACTGGCCCAGTCTTCTAGATAGTCCCACCAAGGTACCACAAATGCAAGTGAAGCTGTCTTAGATCCCTTGTGACCAGTTCGTCTGCCAGCTTAATGCCACCAATTGAACTCAATAAATACCCTAAGGAGAAGAATCACCCGGCTGAGCCCTGCCCAAATTCTTCAGATACAAAATCATAAATGTAATAAAATATGTCCATAGCTTTCCTTCTAAGTATACAATACATCATGGGAGGAGTTGTTACTAGCTACGTGGGGCCAAAAGTTAACTAAAACCCCACCTTTGTCTCTATTCCCAGAGCCATCACCGAAGAGGAAGCCCTCATCACCTCAGGTATACTTTGTTATAACTGATTCCAGGCTCTCCTTATTATAATCTGTCATTACAATCTATCTAACCTAACATTTCCAACCAAAAAACTACTTTTATATGCCAGCCCCACAACCAACATCAATCTCACATTTTACATTTGTGGGAAATTCTATAATGCAAAGAGGTCTTCATAAATATTCCTTTTATTTGATTCATACAACAAAAGCCAGAGATCTGTCAATAAGGCAAATAATCTCTTCCTTAAAGATGAAGAAGTCAAAGGTTAGGGAGGTTAATTTTTGTACAATCTCATTGCCAATAAATGGAATGAATACACACAGAACTAAGAGCCTAAGTCACAGATAACTGCTATTCCTCCATTCTACGACACTGCCTACGAGCTATTTCAGAGTAAAACTATTTGATGTCTCTCTCCATCCCTGCTACAGTAAATCTATTTCCAAGATACTCTATAATTTGGCCTCGACCTATCAACTTGCCTGGTATTTCATACCAACCCCACCACTATAGGAAGGTTGGCTTATTTATTCACCTAACAACAAACCATGCCAATTCTAGCCTCTGAACATTTACTCACAATGTTTCCTTCTTTCAACTCATACATTAGCACAAATTCCACCTCCTCCCTGAAGCCCTACCAGCCTATCCCCATTGCTTTCTCTATCTGCTATTCCTATATGATTTATAAATTTCATCCTTAATTTAGCAGTTTTATCTTGTTCCAGTGTGTTGGTGTTACTTCCAGGCTGGTATTCAGTCAACACACATCCATACATAGAGGCTGGGTGCAGTATATAGTCAGTGTTGGTTCTGACCAGTCAGTGCTCACAACATACCTTTTGTTAAGTATTTCGAATTTCTTTTTTTTTTTTTTTTAGACGGAGTTTCGCTCTTGTTACCCAGGCTGGAGTGCAATGGCGCGATCTCGGCTCACCGCAACCTCCGCCTCCTGGGTTCAGGCAATTCTCCTGCCTCAGCCTCCTGAGTAGCTGGGATTACAGGCACGCGCCACCATGCCCAGCTGATTTTTTGTATTTATTTTTAGTAGAGACGGGGTTTCACCATGTTGACCAGGATGGTCTCAATCTCTTGACCTTGTGATCCATTCGCCTCGGACTCCCAAAGTGCTGGGATTACAGGCGTGAGCCACCTCGCCTGGCTAACTCTACTTATTTCTGAATCTAAACCATAAGTTCTTTAATACAAGGAACTTCATCTTATAAAAAAGCATATCATCATCCAAACCAAGCACAGTACTGAGCACACAGCTGGTATTCATATACTCTTGTTAACTGATTTGATGGGAGTGCAGTGTGTTGTGTTTTGAGGAAAAAAAATGTTCGTAAGTAATGTCTACACTGCAAACAAAAAGTTGAAAAGATAAAATATTTTCAAGATAGGCAGGTTTAATGTCAGAGACTTTTTTTTTAAGTATCATTTAAAGACATTCTGTGCGGCCCATAACTGCCAAAATGTTTTATAAATGTTCTTACCAGGCATGTGAAAAAAAAAAGTTTCAAAGATATTCAAGGAATAGATGTCTTAACAGCCCAAAATAAAATGTTTGCTGAGGCTACAAGGCTGGCAGAACTCTGCCTCATTTCAAAAAGTTTCCAGGCAATGGAAATGTTTTCCTGGAAAATACTACCTTTTATTTAGAGAACACTTGCCATGAACACTTAGTCATTAAGTAATTTAAGGTTTCCTCACAAGTTCTTTGGAGGAAATCTATTCTATGAATGAATGAAATTATCTGTAACTATAATGTCAAAAAATACATTTGGTTAAATATATGAAATCTATCTAAGTAATTTTCCAGGTAAAAGGGGAAAAAAATCTTTTCTACTTTTTAGTCTACTTACTGTTCTTTTAAACTTTTCTATAAGATAAATTTATGAAGAAAAAAACCAAAATCCTTAAGTGTGTCCCTAATACAAACCCCCAAAATTACAAGGCTTATTTTATTCCAAACACCAAGTAATTTTCAAACAGACAAAACGTTCATTTTGATGAAAAAAAAAAAAAAAAAAAAACCGTAATTACAAGCTATTTTTAGCAAAATCTTTGAGTTTGCTTCAAATCACCTTTCAATGAGAGAATAACTCAGTTTAGACATTTCAATCAATCATCTGCAGTAAATCATAACAATGAAACCTAAGAAAACAATTTCTTCCAAGAGTTTTGTAGTCAACCAAGTCTCATTCTTTTAAACATCAAAAGCCACAACTGAATTCTACTCCAAGCACATGCTTTGTACATTTAGTCTTTTTAAAATATAGACAAAAGGATATTTGTTTTACCTGTTAAGTACCTCAGTGAGTTTCACAAAACCAGTATAAGCCAGTTCAAATGCTCCTCTGTGCCTGGACTGTAAAAGGTTTTGTTTAAAGTAATCTCCTATTTCTTTTACCTTTAAAAAAAAAAAGCAAAAATAAATGTTCAATTTATGTTTACATTTGCAAATGTATTTATATCAGTAATATTTTTTGGAACCCGGGTCTAGGGCTCCAACCATTTAGCACTTACTATGTGACAGAACATGTTTTAAGCATTTTTTCTTTTTTGAGACGGAGTTTTGCTCTGTGGTCCAGGCTGGAGTACAGTGGTGCAGTCTCGGCTCTCTGCAATCTCTGCCTCCAGGGTTCAAGCAATTCTCCTGCCTCCGCTTCCCAAGTAGCTAGCTGGGATTATAGGCACCCACCACCACACCTGGCTAATTTTTATATTTTTAGTAGAGATGGGGTTTCACCATGTTGGCCAGGCTGTTGTCGAATTCGCCCGCCTCGGCCTCCCAAAGTGCTGGTATTACATGCACGAGCCACTGCACCTGGCTGTTTTACACATTTTTTTTTTTTTTTTTTTTTAGACAGAGTCTCACTCTTTCTCCCAAGCTGGAGTACAGTGGCGTGATCTCGGTTCACTGCAACCTCTGCCTCCCGAGTTCAAGCAATTCTCATGCCTCATCCTCCTGAGTAGCTGGGACTATAGGCACTTGCCACTACGCCGGCTAATTTTCTGTATTTTTAGTAGAGATGGGATTTCACCATGTTAGCCAGGATGGTCTCAATCTCCTGACCTTGTGATCCACCCGCCTCGGCCTCCCAGTGTGCTCGGATTACAGGTGTGAGCCACTGCGTGCCCAGCCTTTTTTTTTTTTTTGAGAAGGAGTCTCGCTCTTGTAGCCCCAACTGGAGTGCAATGATACAATCCTGGCTCATCACAACCTCCAACTTTCAGGTTCAAGCTATTCTCCTGCCTCTGCCTCCAGAGTAGCTGGAATTACAGGCATGTGCCACCACTCTTGGCTAATTTTTTTGTATTTTTAATAAAGACAGGGTTTTTCCATGTTGTTCAGGCTGATCTTGAATTCCCGACCTCAGGTGATGTGCCTGCCTTGACCTCCCAAAGTGCTGGGATTACAGGCATAAGCCACCGCGCTTGGCTTTTTTTTTTTTTTTTTTTTTTTTTTTTAACAATAGCTCATCTAATCCTCACAATATAATTCCATGAAATAAGTACTATCATTATCTCTACTTCACAATGGGAAAACTGAGGCCCAGAAAGGCTAAGAAACTTATCCAAGGTTACACAGCAAGAAAGCATTGGAACCAGAACATGAAGCCAGGCAGTCTGGCTCCAGAGTTGACCATCTTTAACTGCTCCACTAGAACCACCTTCCTATGTCATCCTCACAAACCTCAGTGTGTTTTCTGTTACAGTGCATATCATTCAACTCCAACAGAAAATCACACAAAGCAACAACATGCACACACATAGATCTAGGTGAAATAATTACCTTTTTATCTTTTTTTAAATTTTCTTCTTTATTGTGGTAAACTATATGTAATATTTATCACTGTAACCCTTTTCAAGTGCACAGTTAAGTAGCATAAGTACATTCACACTTTTGTACAACCATCACCATCATATATTTATAAAACTTTTCATCTTCCCAAAAAGGAAACTCCATATCCATTAAGAAATAACCCGTATTACCTTTCAGAGACATAAAATTGTTCATGACAATACAGGATGTGGTACAAAGGACCTCTGGAAAAAATTACAAGGCTTCACTGCAAGACAGAATCATGGAATTTGCCAGAATGTCACCCAATGGCTTTCCTACGTGCTGTCTTTCTCCACAGATGATTAGACAAATAAGAAATATGACCTTTTCGTGGTTCTTATTTTTTTGTTTGTTTGCTTTTTGTTTTTTGGTTTTTTTTAAGAAACAGGATCTGGTCTTGCTTTATCACCCAGGCTGGAGTGCAGTGGTGCAATCATAGCTCACTGTAACCTCAAACTCCTAGGCTCAAGCAATCCTCCCACCTCAGCTTCCTGAGTAGCTAGGACTCTAAGTGTGTCACATGCCCACCTAATTTTTTAACTTTTTGTAGAGACAGGGTCTTACTATGTTGCCTAGCCATTAAGTACAGTGGCTATTCACAGGTGTGATTATGGTGCATTTCAGTCTCCAACTCCTGGGCTCAAGGAGTCCTTCTGCATCAGCCTCCCAAGTAGCTATAACTACAGGCATGTACCAGTGTGGCTGACCAGATTACTTGTTTTGAAGAAAACATAACTGACAATTCATTGTTGACTAAGGTTTTGAATAGAATTAACTTTAAGCTGATTGGGCTATAAAAGCCCATTAGATTTGGTGACTGTCTTCTAAAAATCAAGATTTTTTATAAAACTCGGGACCAAAGCTGTAATCAGCTATCTCTTGATCCAGGTCTCCCCAACAGATCACAGGATGGTAAAAGACAAGCTGTCTCAAGATATCTTAGATCTGCTTACCTAGAAACACCTTGTACCTCAGCATAGGGACTGGATTAGTATTCTGTACACATTAGAGATAATAAACAGTAGAATAATCAACCATGTAATTATGGGCAAACATCTAAGTTTCCTCATCCATAAACTAGGGATAATACCAGCATTTAGCACATAGGTTGTAAGGAAATGAGTGATAAATTGAAAAGCTCAGAACAGGCCCATAACCTATAATCCAATTCAGTTCAATATGCGCTGTGACTAGAATTCTAAATAGAGGAAAAATAAAGATGTAATCCACACTCAAAGTACTTTTATCTGATTATAAAGACATACTAAGTGATAACATGTGGAGAAACAAGAATCAGATAAAAGACTAAGAAAGAACCAAAAAAGCAGTATATAATGAATTTTTTTAAAATTTTCTTTAGCATCCCAAAGAGTGACAGGTCATGTTCTTCAGCTAGTTTTCCTATAAAGATCTGATGCTACTCTTCATCTTAATATCTTTTAAAGACCACATACTACTAGTTGTCAAGATCCACAGTCAAGTAAGCCTTATTTTATCTTCAATATGGTAATTTCAGGGCATAGTTTGAACAGAATTATCAAAGCTTAAATCCGAATTAAACCCGTAAAAACAATAATCCTATAAAATAAATAGCTCATGATAGCCAGCTTAAAAAAATAATACTAATACAAAATAAGAACTAGAACAGCAATTAGCTTATTTGTAATGGCCATCATTTCAATTATTACAGAAACAAAAGATTTCTAAGAAAGTACTTAAAGTCACAGAAAATTAAAACAGAAAGTCAATGAGATGAGGTTTCTCTATCTTCCTAAATTTTTTCCCCAAAATGTTGCAGATATTAAAACATCCTTCAGGAAAACATAAATTTTGTCATTACTGACAAAGTGCTTCTCTGGATTTACAACAGTTCACAATTTACTCCTTAGGAAAGGCTCAGATTTTCATTGCTTCCTTTATTCAAACACCCTTCGAAGGGGTCTAAAACAAAAAGCATATAATAAAAATCAAAGACCTCAGAAGTATGATCAGTAGGTGGTTTTCTCAAGGATGGACCTCAACCCTAGGTATTCCTGACACAGAAAACAGAATGACAGTCTAAGGACAAAACTGACATGCAGACAGTTTTTCCTCATCTCATTTTATACTTAATAATTTCCCAATAAAGCCACATAGGTAATACCTAGGCTTATTTTTTTTTTCCTTTCAAAGATAATATAAAATTCCTCTTAGACAACAGTATTTCTTTAGCACCATGTAAAATGCTTAGCAGCTTAATGCTGTGGTAGACAGAAAAGACGAAAACAAGATGCCTATCCTCAGTAGAGGCTTTTAGTTGACTTTGGCAAAGAAAACCAATATGCTGTCTGGTACCCATTAGAAGCGTAAGTTCCAAAAAATGGAAGATCCTTCTGCACTTGAATAATGAGAAAAGGCTTCACATCCAGACCTTGAACAGGTTGTTACAGTACTTGGTGGACCAAAATGAAAGAGGGTAATTAACATGAGAAGAGGCTGGGAGACCAGAATGAATGTACAAATAATATATAAGTATGTGCTAGCTACCTATCAGATATCTTGCTAGGTCTTTTTATATCAAAGAATGAGCATACACAGACAAGTGTAAGTAAACATGGCTGACTGACATAGAAGTTTTATGCTAGAAAACAGTAAGGACAAGACTATAAGGTAGAGATGAACCCAATTACAAATGAGTAGTGGGCTTAGCAATGCGGTCTATGAGCAGCTGAACAGAGAAGAAAGGCCAGGCTGACTGCCTCCCAAAGGATAATCAGACTACGGGAAACGCATTTAACTCAAACCACTTACAAAATTAGTAACAATAAAATCAGAAAAATAGAATTTGAAATTTTGATTTTTAAAATGAAAAAGTCCTCTGAAAATTCCAACCCAATTGCCTATTATATACCATTGAGTTTCTATTTAAAGTTCACAGAAAGTTTTCTTTTTTGGCAATGTCTGTACGAAATAATATTTTAGAATTAACTATTAATTTTTATTACATTTCTTTCTAGTCCTTTTCTTTTTTTCCCAATGAAATTCTTTTCTTTTTTTCCCAATGAAATTCAACATCTACTCGCAATTTTTTTTAAAAACCTCTTCGCAAACTTGGAAGAGAAAAAAACTTCCTTAACATCATAAAGAATACCTATAAAAACCCAACAGGCAAATATCATAGACAACAGTGTAGTTTGTTTTTTTTTTTTTGTTTTTTTTTAATCCTCTTTAAAATCAGGAACAAGATAAGGATTCCTACTGTCACAACTTCTATTGAATTCTATTCTGGAGCCGCTCTCCAGCACACTAAAACAAGAAGAAATGAGAAGTGTAAACAATATGAAAGAGGCCAGGTTGCGGTAGCTCACACCTGTAATCCTAGCACTTTAGAAGGCTGGGGCTGGTGGACTGCCTGAGCTCAGGAGTTCGGGACCAACCTGGGCAACATGGTGAAACACCCGTCTCTACTAAAATACAAAAAATTAGCCAAGAGTGGCAGTGTGCCCCTGTAGTCCCAGCTACTCAGGAGGCTAAGGCAAGAGAAATGCTTGAACCCGGGAAGTGGAGGGTGAGCTGACATAGCA